GAAAAGACAGATCGACAGCAAAGGAAGATGGATTTGAGAATATATTCTGCACTCAAAATTATCGCTGTAAGAACAAGAACCAAATCTTTTTAGCTTTATGTGATGGCCAAGTACATTTTCAATGCCAATGCCACACGTTTTGTTTCAGTCAATCCCCTCGTGTTTCGGCTAAGGAAATCGAAAAAGAGACGTACAAAATAGAGTTAGTACTATGAAATTCAACTTAGTTTCAATCCGAACTATTTTATCTTAAGTCGAACAATCAATTTTGCGTCGACTTAAATCCTATTATTGTGGTAGTGGGGAGTTGCGCGATTATGAGACAACAAATTGATTTGGTTGACTGTATGGACTGAATCTTTAGATCAAAAGATATAATGATAAGTCAAACTTAATAAGTCTGCTGAATTATACTACGGACATCTAATCTCCCATATTACGACATGTGGTATGTGGTTATATGTCATATAACATCTTGTATTGTTGATTTTACTTTCTCTAATTTTTCTTCCTCAAAATTATAATTTATTTTGTTTAGTTAATAATGCTTATTTTCTAAGCATTTTTTTATCACAATAGAGTAATTAGAAAAATAATGTATATATATAAAGGTTGCATTTAAAAAATTCTTTTAAGTTGTTGTGACTAATAGTTGGAAATTTAAAAGATTTCTAATAAATTTTTGAATTTTTAATTTTGTGTAATAAAGAGATCTCTAAAATATAAATTTTTAGTTTATTGTTTTGTGAGAAGTTTTATAAAATGATTAGTTTATTGGATATAAAATTGATAGCCTAAGAGACTTATTAAATATCAAAGCAATCATATAATTTAGTAGTAATGATAATTGCTATCTATCTCCAATCAAGAGCTTCAAAATTCAAAACTAGACTTGTAATTTATCTAAGATGTGATAATGTAAAATTAATTATATTTTGTCGCAATAGTTGTTGTCATATTGATGATTCCCAAACTTGGACTAAAACACAAGTTATGGTGACACTTCTGCAGGACTCGTCTTTAAATGATGGAATAATTACTCATTTATATTTGGGATAAAAAGAAATCACAATTGACATCAATCAGAGAGCCACGTGGGTATGAAATTAGAGTGTAAGCCATTGTCACTTCACTAAAAAGAGGAAATATTAAATACCTTCTTTTTTTTTTCTGTTTAATTTACCAATTGCGGGAGTAAAAAATTAAAGCATCAATTGAAATGCCACTCACACCTACAACTAGTTGATTCTTTTCGGAATACGTTGAGACAATTGCCAGAGTATTGTTTAAATTGACTTAAATATATATTATTAAGTAGTTGACATAAAAAATAAATCACAAAAATCCCAAGTAATTAGCTGGTTTAATTAAAGTGCACTCTCTCTTTAACTACCTTTATCATCAAAATTATAATTATCTTAAAAGTTACTTTATTTAGCAAATAACTACCGAAAATACAATATTTAATTATTTATGTAAAAGTGTCAATAAAAAAATGTACAAACACATTGATGCTAATTTTAACGTTTTGTTTATTTTTATTTTTATTTTATTTTTTGCAAAAGGAATTTTAACCTTTATTGAAACAATGGAATAAATACCTTAGCTTTTTAAAAAACTTTTAGTTTCTTTTTTGGTTCATGCTGTTTGCTCATAGAAGTATTTGTATTCATGCATTAAACATTATATTACAAGTCTTCCACTTTTTTGTTTCCGTCAAAACGAACATAGTTCAGCGATAATTGATATATATCTTCAATCAAGAGGTTGTGAGTTCAATCTCCACCCCACATATTGTACTTGCACTTTGTTTTTTAATTTTATTTATAATCATGGTCTTCCATAAGTTACTTTAGCTCTTTCGAAAGGAGTCTCTCCTCCACCAAATTAATTGTTTGTTCTTGCAAAATCAGCCCCAACCCATATGATTATGATCTTAAAGCCATGTATTATTTAGAGAAATATGATATATTTTTCTTTTAAATATTCAGAAATTAGGATAATTCACTTTCTCCTCAGTTGTAATAGTTGTAATATGATACTCTAATTATTGTTAAATTATAAATTTAGTCTCCAAATTTCAATGTTGTGCCTAATAGATCCTTTACCTATTCAACATTTTTTAAAATTAACGAATCTATTTGACATAAAATTTTGTATATAATAGGTTGTAAATTTTACAAAATATTAAATAGGTCAAGGGACATAGTAACCACGAAATTGAAAATCAGCTACATATTCGACACAAAATTGAAATTTTAGAGACTTATTAAATATTTTCAAAATTCAGAGACCTATTAGATACAAAATTGAAAGTTATCTATTAGACACTCTTTAATGAACTATCAGGTAGCTCATTAGTTTAAAACATGTTTCAAATTTCGAGTCACACGTCGACATGTCGCTCAACATGTCGACATATCGAGGACCTCGACATCGATGCGGGAGAGAATCTCGTTTTCCCCCAATAACTACGACATGTCGAGGAAATGTCGAGATGTCGACGAAATGTCGCTTTTTTTTTCTTTCTAACTTATAGTCTAAATTTTTTTTGTAATAATTTGAAAAGATATAGTCACTAGTGGTGTTGATGGATATTTCGGTTAAATAATTTGAAAATATATGTATAGTTTGTCTGGGTGAGATAACATAAGAAATGATTTTTTTCTAACCAAAACACCTTTTTTTTTTTTTACCTTGTGACCTTTTTCTTTTTGTTTTCAACCATTTTTACATTAACGTCACAGAAACCCCAAATTCTAGTAGTGTTTGTTTCCATCTTTTTATCTCTCATAGCAAATAAGTAAATCTGACGAAAAAGAATCAAATTTTTTCTAAAACAAATTAGGGAGGTTTCCCATTCAAATTTGGCTTAAGATTATATATGTTTATTTGAATTAAAAGAAAAGATCATGTTTGGTATTAGTTAAATTATATCACCACTATCTGTATATAATAAATTTTATTTTTCAAATTTTATACCTATTTCACATATCTGATTTAATTATTGAACTAAATATTAGATTTGATTAGAAATTTTTAATAGAACATAATCAATCAACAATAGCTTTAATTTACATGTAAGTATATATATGATTTTGTTCTGACGTTATCACTGCAGCGACATTTTCATAAGTATATTATTGATATATTTAGATATGACAATCAAAATTGAACAATTATGAGCTAATTAAGCCTACAATTAAAGTTTTATTTAATAATTCATAAAATTTGCATAAATATCCACAACATTCCGTATTTTTTTCCGAAATATCCATCACATGTTCATCGACATTATCCGTAAAATCGGGACCTCGATATTTCCATCGACATCGACATTTTGAACCTTGGTTTGAAAGTGACTATGGTAAATTGAGATCAGGGGATGAGTCCAAACCTCGTGATGACCACATACTTTAAGAATTAATTCCTATGTATTTTCCGGCACTAAATGTTGTAGGGTTAAGTGGCTGTCCCGTAAATTTAAAGTTTAGGAGCTATTTGCCATAAATTGGAAAGTTCTTCAATTAAACTTGTAACTTTAACCCATTAAAACAATCAAATCAAGCAATATCTTTAGGTTTAAATACAAATTTGATTTAATTTCTAAACTTTGTGCTAGATCTATTTACTATTTAGTTTCTAAAATTAAAATTTGTTATTATTTTTCTAAAGTTCTATTTTGATGCTCTTATATAATTTGCATGTTGCCCTATAAAATGCAACTACTTAGAATTGGACCGTTGAGTTGAATTTTGAAGTTGCGTTTTGAGCTTTAATTCTTGCACCTACCAACAACCGCTGTGTACAAGCTGCATACGTATTAGAAAATTTTACTCACCATCAATTTAATACGTATTTTTAAAATAATCACAACTTTTCATTTCTTTTAATTATATTATAAATTAGACTTTTCTTAATATATTTTACCTTACATGTGATTTAACCTAATTTGAATGGTGCTGTTTTTGTAAAATTGTAAATTTTGTACTTTGTTTAAAAATATATATTTATTTTATGTTATTTATATAATTGCCTTTATTTGTTATATAAATTTACTTAGGTGAGAACACAAGGCTTTGTAAACTTATGAGTTTTTTTTTTTTTCCCTTTTCTTTTGAAGTTACACGCGCACCTTACAAATTATAAATTTATAAACTAAATACTGTAATTATGTAAGCTTCTCAATTTTTGTAATATTCGTTTGCACAATCTAAATTCAAGCTATCCTTTTTTAAGATACAATTATTTAGTTCTGGTAAACGATATTTTATTTTGTACAAATTGGAGTACTAAAGTTTGAATCTCCCCCTCAAATAAAAGAGTAGGTGTCAATTAGTTATGTTTAGGTTGGTGAGGAAGATCAGCATGTTATCCTAGAGTCACTTTTATCTGTTAAGCGACGATCCTTCCATTCGACCTCGTCGGATCATTCAGACCGACTTTCGTCCCTGCTCGACGGGTGGGTCTTGCAATTAAGCACTCTTCTGCCTTTTCACTCGAGGGTCCATCTCCGTCTGGTCCGAGGAAACCTTTGCACGCCTCAATTACCCTTTGGGAGGCCTACCTCCCATAGAAACAGTCTATTTGAGACTGTCCCTTGCCTCTAGGTTCTAACACAAGTTTAGAATTGGCCTCTAGGTTCTAACACAAGTTTAGAATTCTAGCTCTTCCAGTGTGGTAACTCACTAATGGTTCCGACCCTTTCTTAGGGGCCTTCTTCGCCCTCCACCGAGGAAGGATGTGCAGGAAAGGCCAATGCTTTAAACCTTACTAAATTTAGATCGAAAGGATTAAAAATTTAAAAGCACGATATCATATTTTGCAATTTTATTTTCAATCATATTTATCAAGAAAAAATCTTTGTTCGAATATTAACCACATTTTTTTTTCACACTATAATGTTTTTGACAGACTGGTGATAATCATAATTACAAATAAAATTTTTTGTGTCAAAATAATTCGATTCATTTTTATCTGTAACGCTTCGTTTGAGAGGCTCCGTCCATTTTTATTTTTTCTGAAATAAAATCATCTAGCTTATGAAATATATTAAATTTACAAAAAAAAAAAACACGGAAAATCCTCAAATTCAGTTTTTTGTATCAGAGCGATCAGCCTCCATAACTGGTTCATTCGCCAGGAGTAGCAACGAAGACGACGCCTCCAGTTCACTCGCTTTGATTTTCACATTTTCTCGCAGCTTTTCCAACGATTCCTTCAATTTCAAAAGCTCATCGAAATTCAGATCCTCGATTTTGATCGATTCCTCTTTCGATTTCATCTCCTTCTCCAGAATCTCTCCCCTCCTCTTCTCCAATTGCAACTGCTTGATCAGATCCAGAAGTTCCTCATTCTCCTTCTCGATCATTCCGGCCTCCCTCGCCGGCGGAATCGGCTCCGATTCGTGGTTTAGGTATCGATCGATCACGTCCTCGACGTTCGGATGGCCGAATGAGAACGCCTTACCGCCGGGCGAGAAGACGACAATCGCGATCTCTAAGCCGCACAGAGTAGCGAGATCGTTCGCTTTCTTAAACAGACCGTTCCGGCGCTTCGAAAAGGTAACTTGCCTAGAGCTCCTATCCTTCACCATCTTCATCTCGATTTTTCGCCTCCCCATAGATTAAGTATACTGTTGTCTTTTCGTCCTGAAAATTTGATTGATCGGAGATTGATTTCTGAGAAGATCTGTGATTTGAATGTAATCGATCGAAAAGGAGAATTAGGTTTTTTTTTTCCAATGTTTCTAATATCGGATTTTGGTGTATATTTTATACACATTATTTTGTTCATTTCGTTAGCTAACATGGAAAGCTTTTAATTCTCTTGCTAAATATGCATCGTCGTTAGAAATTAGAAAATACGATTATCTTGAAGGGGGTTAATATCACTGAAATTTCAGAATTCGATGCAAGTAAGAAAGATCTACCTTTTTCCATCTCAAATCAAATATTAATATTTGATAAAATAAAATTAATTATTATTATCATTCAAAAAAAACATATTTTAGAAATGAGAACATAATCGTGCCTATCAACTTTTATTCATTTAGAACATAATCAAAATGAGATGACCAAAAGAGACTAAATTTGACACTTTTTAAAAGTAGGCGATCAAACAAATATTTCAAAAGTACAAAGGTTAAATTAAATCATAATCAAAATGAAACAGAGAACAAAAAATACTTCCCTCATATTTAAAACTAATATTTAAGTTTAAATTTTATTATATTTTACTTATATGTTTTTTTAGTTTTTATTTTAATACATCTACGGACTAAAATATATACTTCTAAAAGTTTAAAGATTAAAATAAAATAAAATAATTATTTAATCGAGCAAATTTTAATTATTTTTGTCATTTTTATACACCTCAGTTGAATTTGGGTAGTCTAATGTCAACTATTTTTGTTTTAATTATTGAATAAAAAAATGTCGACTATTTTTATAATGTTGGATTTTTATTTTTTAAATTTATCTAGTAGTTGTTTTTAAGGAACTTTAGCACATTTGGTTGGTATAAATATAAATTATAATTCATATTTGAGGGTGTATTTTTCCAAGGTGGAAAATAATTAATTTTCAACTGAATCTCACGTTAGATTTCCATTTTATTCCAATTCGAATTAACTGGATCTTTATTAACAATCTAGTGTGTGGCGCCCCATGGAGATACTGATGGACTTTACCATTGGATTATATTTGACATTGATTTTGGCCCACCTAATATTTATTTTCGCCATTTTCTAAAATTATTTGTTTATTATTATCAAATATTACAATTTTCAACAGCAATTTTGTCAACAAAAATTGTCTGTCTCAAAAACACTTCTAATTCCATATATGTTTTGTTGATGATGAAATTCAAGTAATTTTAAAAAAATGTCAAAATTACTTCAAAATATACTATTTGAATGACATATGAAATAGTTGGATGGACGGAGGATAATTTGTGGTTTGTGATTATTTTATTTATAAAATTCTAGTAATTACTATGCTTTGCTTAAGATTAATAATATTGGAGCCTATATTTAATTTGAAATTTTTTTAGGTAATTAGTAATTTGCAAATCTATGAGTTTCTCGTGGTATACATATTTAAATCTTATATTATACCTAACATATAAATTTTTGCAAACATAAACTCAATAACTAAACTCGATCCCCACCTCCATATATTATATTCAGAAAAAAAAATTAACTAGATACATATTTTGCCAATTAATACTAAATAATTTTGATAAATTGTTAATTCAAGGAAACAAAAGTTTAGCTTTGCTTGTATTTCAAAAATCTGGAAATAAACCAAAATGAGTAGAAAATGTATTTTTTTTAAATAAATGTAATAAATGAATAAAGAGGGAACAAAATGGGTAAATGACATTTCTCCGAATAAATGCACTTGTAGCAATCATTTAATATATTATATTTTTATAATTTCAACCCTTTTTGGGTTTTCAATTTTCAACCACGACAACAAATTCTACTATATTTACAAATAATTTAGGCTAGAAGGAAGATAAAAAAAAAAAAAGTTAGGCCAAATTTTTATCACGATGTTATAATTTTATAGATCTTTTTAAAACAATTTTTTTTCTAAACTAAAACTTGTTTTATATGATTTAAAAAATTTTATAAGCCTCTTTTGATTTTAGCTAAATTAAGAAAATCAATCTGATCTTTTTTTTTTAGGTTCCACTGTTAGACTAGGATATATATATCAACTTGGTCTCTGAAGTTTTAAAATGAACATTCTCAGTTCTAAATGGTCCAAATTGTTTATTGTAGTTGTTGATGTGACAAATTATATTAATTAAATAATATATGTCAATGAATATAATTGGTCATATCAACAACTACAATAAACAATTTAATTGCAATTCATGGACCCTTTAGAACTATTTCTCAAATTTTAGGGATTGAAAGTGTCTATTTTAAAACTTCAGAGGCTAAGTTGACACCTACTTTAAACCTCAAGGATCAAAAATGTTTATTTTGATACTTCACATACCTAAGTAGACACCTACCTCAAACCTCAGGGACCAAAAATATATTTTGTAAATTTTTTAAAAAGCGTTCAACATATATTAATATATTAATTTTTTCAGGACACTACCATTCAAACAAAAATTTGTGGATTGATACTTTAAGCCTTTTTGATAAATTATGAACGTATAGACTACCTAGATCATGACAAAGTTAAAAAAAAAGGACGAGTCGTAATCTTAGGTGTCGTTTTTGTTTTTTATTTATGTTTATTCATTTTTAACAAAGAAAAATAGAATGGTATAGTCTCAACACCTATAAATTCAAAATTTTGAAAAACAAGAAACATAATTAGTTGTAAAATGCTTATGATTATTAAAATAAGAAACAAGAACGTTACCAAACGACCATTACATCTTAATTCTTAATTCATATTAACATTCTAGACCATCACATTAACATTTCAAACATGATTTTTTTTTTTGTAAAGCAAATGTGAGAATGAATGATTCAACTAGTTGATCACTGATCCTACCTGCCAGCCAAACTAAAAAAACAACAGAATGTGGAGTTCATTTTCTTTTCAAGTATTTTCATTATTTGGTTGGTTGGTCCATTTGAATAAATGCAAGTTGGTCCATGTGGACAATAACAGTTAAAAATAATTCAACAGAAAACTACGAATGAATAAAAGAAAAAGAAAAAGAAATTGCAATCTAACTTGTCAGAGACAGCATTAAATATTTCATTTTGTTTTGACCCTGTAATGGGTATTTCAATTTTAACATTTAGAAAAATATTTGTTGTCATAAGAATATCTTATAGTTATACCAAAATTTCTCTTTATATTCCATTGTATTTTGTTTTTCCGATTTTCTATCCAAACCCATTTTAATTTTCACTGTCAAGTTTTTGTACTGTATTTAATAAAAAGTATAGCTAAGTAGAGTTTCGTTAAATATACTGAAACAAGTAAACAAACAAAATTAAAATAGTCTTCTTAACGATATTAATATAAAATATCTTGAAATATAAAAATTAGAATAAATAAGCATACAAGTAAAGAACAAATTTGATTGTAATATAATTTTTTTTTATTTTGAAAGTTGTAATAACTTGACTTTTAACTCTTGCAGGCATATATTTTAAAGTTAAGTTCAAATCTCTACTTCGATATTATACAATATTGATGTCGTACAACACTAGTCTTGTGGTCGGTCTAAAAATATACACCGTTGTATTCCTTTATCATATGGTCACTATAAAAAGGCAAGTGGGTCAAGTGGAGAACTTAGAACAAGGGTTAAAATATTTCAACAAAAAGTTCAAAAAAAAAAAAAAAAAGAGAAGGAATGTAATTAGATGACATCCTGAAACAGAGGTCAATTCAAACGGGGGATCTGAAGAAATCTCATCTCTTCTAAAACCCTTTGAATATCCGACAAGACCCGGGATTTTGCGTGGCCATAAAATCGTTTCCTAATTTACATTTTTCATCTCCTTCCCCCAAATCCAAGTGGGTACAAAAATTTCCCAACTCTTTATTTATTTTTTCACCAGCAAAAATGACCAACGATTTCCTCATCTTTCCCAATCCTTGCTTTTCTTTTCATATTAATGTCTGTTTCATAAACTTTAGAAACTTAGAACATTGTTGTAGTATAGTGACAGATCTTTCCCAACCCTGAGGCTTTTTCCAAAACCGTTGCTTTCACGCGCTCTCTCACTCTCTTTTTATAGGAGAAGGTAGAAGAACAGAGAGACAGAGAGAGGAAATGACTTTTGAACTAACTGAAGACTCTTGTTTTCCACGGGGATTGTTAGTTGTACATGTGGGTCTTGCTCTCGTTGATGCCATTATTGCAGTTCTTGCATTCTATCAGGTTTTCTCTGTTCCTGAATAGCCTTTGGAAACTTAGATTTTGCTTATTTTCCCCCCTTTCTTTCTCCCATTTCTTGAAACTGTGGAATGTGGGTTGTGAATGTACTTGTCCTGCGGTTTTAATTTGAGGTTTGGATTGTTATTTAGCATCTTCTGATTGTTTGAAGACTGGGGAATTGGGGTTTTCATTACATTTATATAATCAGTGGCATTTTGATGATCGGGTGACTATTGAGTTCTTTTATAGTTTGATTTTCTTTAGTTGATGAAAAGAAGGGGGTTTCAAACTTTCAAATTGGTCAATGAAATTCCAATCACTAAGATTTGTACTTTACCCTCTTTCTCACTGTTACTTTTAGTAGCCTGCTGGTTTATTTTATTACTACTTTTCTCAATCGATTCAAATAGTTAGTAGTTATTTGGTTAGTTGACTGCATCTGTGAATAGGTGACTTTGCTTGTATATACCACTTATTTCATATTCAATGACAGTAATATTGCTTTAAGCATTGTTGGAGAATTTCAATCTTGGTGGCCTCACAAGTTCATTGACACTGTACTAATATTTCCTGTGACGTTTATCGTTTTCCGTTTCCGTTTACAATCCGAATCATTCTTTATGTAAGAAAAATAATGGCTATTCCTTATTCCGTTATGTTCCAGTTAGCAAGGATTCAATCAAGAAATTCACATGGTTGGACTCGTCAAAAAGTAAGTCTTGCATGATATTTCTTTATGAGATGAAATATGAAATAATTTGGTTAGTTGGGGGATGGTTAGATTTAATACCTTTCAAAAGGTGTTGGTTATGAAGGTTTGTTTTGTAATTATCAGTTAGGTGTTATTTTTTTGGATTTGAGTACCTTTTTGTCGGATGGTCCCCGGACTAGTTTTTTGTATGTCCCGTATATTCTTTCATTTTATCTCAACAAAAGCAGTTTCTTATAAAAACAAATGAAATCATTTCTATCGATGCTCCCCCTTTTATCTCTTAGTTTCAGCCGCATTAATTGACTTTACAGGCAGTTCAGGGATCATGGGTCTTTCTTATCCAATTGAGCTGCCATAGTTTCTGATTGAATTTCAACATATATGAACTCAATTCTATTGCTTGGGAGAGAGATTTCATCATGTCATATTATTGCACTGACAATGACATCCTAAATTAAAAAATGTCAATATTTTTCCATCAAATTGTAATGTATAGGATCAATTCAGGCCATTCGATAATCTTTTGCCTTCTGCATTTAAGAATTGCTTGGTGGGCACCTCAGAGGTTCCTTTGTTAATGGCTTTGGATGCCTGGAGATATTCTCAACAGTCATGGGTTCAAATTCTTAGGTCGGAAAGTTAATAACCATTGGCCTTGGAGTGGGCAAAGCCTCCTTGGCAATCCAGTACCCTGGTTACCAAGAAGAATTGCTTGTTGGAGTTTGGACAGACCTCTAGTGGATTTGATTTATTTGAGAATAAAGCACACTGAAGCAAGTAGGGCTGAGTGTACTTAATTGGGTATTTTCAATCCTTTCCTTCATGGTATTGTTCATTTAGTTAGTTTGGTAGATTGGATTATGTGGGAGTAGGAACAAGTTAGAAGGGGGCCGAGGTAGAGAGAGATTTGTATAAAGTAGAATACTGAGACAGGGATGAGAGATGCAGGACTCTTGAACTTCCTGCTTCTCTTGTCTTAACCAGATGGAAAACAATAAGTTTTATAAAAATTAGATGAAAAGTGTTGTATGTGCTCGCCAACAGAATAGTCATTTTCCAAACCATTGTCACGATCCGATTAGTTGTGATCTGTGATGTGTTTTTTGACATTATATAAAAAGCAATGTGCTTAATTGATATTTATGTATAAATGGACCAGTTCGTATAATGATTTTTGTCTCATGCTACTTGCAAACTGCAGGTGTTCCATATATTAATTGGTTCTTCTAATTTGGGTAAGACGTTGTCATTTTCGTGATCCTATTCAAAACTCACTCTTTTTTTTTCCTCCTTTATTTACCTCTACATTTTATCTTTGAGAACTAGTTTTTGTATTTATTTATTTGACTCAAACATGGTTCCTCAAACTGGTTTCTTTCATGGCAGGTTATTTAGCTTATTTTGTGTTAGCTCTTTTTGCTGCTTGCAATGGATGGCCATGTTGGTCAGGTTCTTGTGGCTTCATTTTTATGGGTAATCTCTCAGTGTCAAATATCCTGAATCTCTTGATGTTGGGACTTCAATAAAAGTATTTATATATGGATTTTTTTGTTTGCAGCCTTCCCCAAAATTCTGCTTTTGGCTTTGTTTCTTCTTCTTTTGTCATTTTGGTAAGTGGCAATTTCCTTTTTATCATTAGCCTTCTAATATTTGCATGAGTTGATTTTTAATGCTTTGTAGAAGAGTTTCTTCTTTTCAATTCTCTCTTTTTCGTTGAGTCTCATTAATCTTAGTTGCAGCAGCTTGATGTAAAGAAATTTTCACAATGATAAGAAAAGCTCAAGAACAAAGGAGGAAGATAAGACAGTTCTTAAATACCAAGCTGCCATTGAGCTTGTAGAAAAGTGCCCCACTTGGCAAGAAGTCAAAATGAAACTCATAATTATATGATATTCCTACTCTTTTCTTCAAAAGTTATTCTATTCCTTTTCATCCACTCGGCTCAAAGAATGTACTGTTTTGAAGCGGAAATCGATCTTCTATGCCCTATTAGATTTATTCCATATTCACCACAGCCTTAGATTTCTATACCATTTCATTATTGTCTTGTTTGAAAGCTGTTGCTTATGATTATGTGGAAAACATATATAGGGTTGACCTCTGCCACCAGCCAGATGATGAAGACGATGAGGACGAAGAGAGAAGTTTCGAGGAGGGCTTGTTGGAGACGATATCTAGTAAACCAAGTTCATCAAATACAGATTGGAGTAAGAGGTGGCTTCCGGCACGACTGCCTCACGTCGGAAGCCGCCAAAATTTAGTAATACTGGTATACGATACAGTATTCTTTTTAGCAACTACTCAGATTTTGTTTAAATGGATGCTGATTGCTTATAAAGAAATTGAAGTTCTCAAATGACCAATCTGATCATTGGTTGATTATTTATAGGTGATTGCGATTATCTTTGTTTTAACATTGGCATTTGCTCTGATACTCTGGATTGGGATGGGAAATAAATCCATTGATTCTTTGGTAGTTGTTCAGGTACGAAGAATCTTAAAATAGATTTGCATTCAACAAACCTTTTTTTTTT